CCTCTCGGTCTTTTAGGTCAAGGCCCCAAACACCAACCAGCCACTAGTGGTGAGTTGTTATTCTTAGGGAAAAAAAATTTTAGGGCTCCATGAGCACTAAACCATATCAATAGGAAAAAGCCATGAAATGTGCTGTGTGAGGAATTTTTTTAAAAAACCTCTGATTTTTATTTTAGTTGTCACAATTGACTTATTTTTACTTATTTATCATTTTCGACCAAGTTTGGCCACATCACTCAAAAATTGGTTGAATTTGAAGTTTTAAATTTTTGTAACAATGACTACCATTTCCTGAGTAGTTACCTAGTTAATAATTACATACTAACTGTGAATTAGGGGTGCCAAACAATTCGATCGGTTTTATCTGAACCAACCCGCATCCGTATCCGAATGGATGCGTACATGGTAAGCTATTTTTAAAACCGGGGGGATACGGTTTCGGTTTTTTTCGGATATAGATACGAATGTAGGATTCGGTTGCGGATTCGAATACGGATTCTGATACGGATCTGGTTTTAATTTTTTCGGATACAGATTCAGATACGGATATGAGTATAGGATTCAGTTGCGCATTCGGATACGAATCCGGATACAGATATCCGCAATTCAATTAACATAAAGATTGAGATTATGGGTGTTAACGGAGCGGCTACGGTTCGGATATGGCACTTACCATATCCATATCGCTTTTTATAAACGAGTATGGATACGAATACAGATTATCTTCGGTAAGAAAAAACCTTAACCATATCCGCACTCATCGGAAACGAATAGGGTTCGGATATTAGAGAATCGAATCAAATACGATCATGAATATGAAATGGATATGAATCGATTTTCGTACAATTGAGTTTAGTAGTTATCAACATCAAATGATAAAAATATAATAAAATGATCGCATATATATATAATATCATCAACTGTACCTAGAAATGCTATAAAGTATCTAAGTAGTTGATATAACTAACAAAGCAAAGCATCAAAAGAGCAATCTAGATATGTAATATCATCGTTTCAAAACAACATAATTCACATATAATAAGAATTACTTCAAACAAACACCAAACATAAACAAATAAAGCCACATAATTAGTTATATAGAGTTTCAATCTAACACATCAAGGCAAAATTTAACTAGAATATGACACTTATAATCACAAATTGACAAAGCAAATGTATGTAAAACTAGAGTTTCGATTCAACCTTATGGAATAGTAAGGATGATGGATCAACGAGGATGAGCGGTGGCAGACTAGGCGTGCTGGTCCTGCTCGTGGAGAAGCGCGTTGAAGATGGGGCAGAGGAGGAGGGAGAAGACGATGGTGGAGGTCAAGCGACGAGGGGTCTGATGGAAGATCTAAAGGAGGAGGTCGGAGGAGGTCGGCGGAGGTCGAGCAAGAGTGGAGGAGTGGTAGCAGAGGGTGGGGG